TTCACCAAAACAGAATCAACTATTCGTTTTTAAATTTAATTTAACTTAATATTAAAAGCCCAGTTCCTCAGAAGCACTAGCGACATTTCAAGTACTTAACAGTCATATGACGGCAATTCTAGAGAGATCAGGAGCAGCCCCACAGCTCATTACCTGTTTCCCTTGGCTGGCCCTGGGCTGGACAGATGGAGGAGGGTATGATCAGAGTCTGATGCCCACGTTCCTAGGTTGAACAGCCTAGCAATGGTGGTTCTTTTGTGAGCCCAGCCTTGTCCTTCTGAGCCCTGGGTCACGCTGGGTCACAACCTCAGAGCAGGAAGGTAGTTTACCTACCTACCATTGCTCATAGCTGGAGTCCCCAGAAAGCAGCTTGAGAACTCCTGGGCTATGTAACTCACGCCTGAAAGGGCTCCAAGTGGGCCAGATGGGGCAGCCTCAGCTGTTCCATGCAAAATAGTACAGCTAGTTTTAGAACCTTTCCATTTTTAAAGCTCATTGCATAGAGATGGAAGAGTGACAATTTTCCTAGAGGCTTTAAGCTACTCCTTCAGTTAGAAGAAAATTAAAAATCAAGGCCAGGCACAGTGGCTTACATCTGTAATTCCAGCACTTTGGGAGGCCGAGTTGGGCAAATTGTTTGAGCCCAGGAGTTCGAGACCAGCCTGGGCAACATAGCAAGACCTCATCTCTACAACACAAGGACAATAAAAATTAGCTGACATGGTGGTGTGTGCCTGTAGTCCCAGCTGAGATGGAAGAATTGCCTAAGCCCAGGAGGTCAAGACTGTAGTGAACCGTGATCGAGCCACTGCACTCCAGCCTAGGCGACAGACTGAGACCCTGACTTAAAATAAATAAATAAATACAAATCAAATGGCTGTTAGCAATGCCTACAGCATTTTTGGTTCCTAGTGAATGCTTGCTGGTAAATAAATTATTATTACTTCCAACCACCAGAGTAGCCAATAATCGCATTCTCAACTGAGAGGGGAAAAAAAAGCAAATGATTTTTGTGGTTAAAGTTGTTTTACGCCGGGCTCGGTGGCTCAGCCTGTCATCCCGTGCCTTTGGGAGGCTGAGGTGAGTGGATTGCCTGAGACCGCGGGTTCGAGACCCGCCTGGGCAGCGAGACCTCATCTCTACAATAAATCAAAAAATCAGCCGGGCATGGTAGCGCATGCCGGAAGGCTGAGGCGGAAGGATCGCCGGAGCCCAGGAGGCGAGGCTGCGGTGGCCGGGAGCGGTCACTGCACTCCAGTCTGGGTGACAGAGTGAGACTCCAACTCAAAAAAAAAAAAAAAGTTGTTTTACATTTTCCTACATTATAATTAGGGAAAAATGAAGTCTACTGGTTTGTGAGTTAGCAAGGCTCCGTGGACTTTATTTCTTTTTTCTAATCTCTTTTGGAAGTTACTATTTAACTAGGAAGAAATTTATTTTTTTAAAGTATGTATGAAATAGCTATATGTGTGGATAAATATGTATATATATATATATATATATATACACACACAAATGATTTCTAAAGAATGTACTTGTGAAACTTTTTTAGAGTTTTACATCCTGTGAAATATTTTAAAATAAAAATGTAAAATGCACACCTCATCAACAGGGGTGCCTGCATAATGAACATTTGTATACCTAGCCCTGAATAGTACCCCACATCTTTGAAATAAAGAAAAAAAGTCTGATCCTTCTGGGAATTTCAAAAAGAAATAAATAAATTAAAAAAATTCATGGTTTTTGACTAAATAAAGTTTTTAATTTTTTTTTTAGAAAAAAAAAAAGTAAAGATCACCACAAGGTGGCACCAAAAACTAATAAAAATTCCAGTCTCTGGTCTGGTCTTTGAGGAGTGAGGAGTGATTTATAGGAGACATAGGGCAAAAAAAAAGACCACATAAATTAGGTTGAAGATTGGAGATAGATTAATAACCTCCTTTTGTCTGAAAGACAATTCTCTCTCTCACTGGTGTGGGAATATTATATCATACAATGAGTCTCAGTCTATATGTCAATAAAGTTAATTATTAAAATGATTTGTTCTCACGGAAGCATCAAATTTTATCCTTGCCTTTCAGTGAAAGTGTATTATGAACGGTGAGGAGGAAGGCCAGGCGTGGCAGGTCATGCCTGTAATCCCAGCACTTTGGGAGGCTGAGGCGGGAGGATTGCTGGAGTCCAGGAGTTTGAGACCAGCCTAGACAGCAGAGTGAGATCTAGTCCTACAAAAAAAAACAACCAGAAAAATTGGCCAGGCATGGTGGTATGCACCTGTAATCCAATCTGGGTGACAGAGTGAGACCCTGCCTCGCCCTCCCCCCCCAAAAAAAGTGTGGGAGGTGAACAAGGGGGTGGGGGGAGACTGTACAACATATCACCTAGTTAGGAAAAGTTTATCCTGTGAGTGGGGCAGTCTTGAAAGCCACTAGTCTCTGCAGAGTTTGTCAAAGTATCTTGGACCAAAAAAAAAAAGAATATCATGAAAAGAAGACAGATTTGTTTTCTATTTGTTTACTTTGGCATATTGACCAACTGCATAGTTTTAGAAATTATTGCAATATTGGAATTTGAGTTTGTAACACCTCATATAATATGTCTGGAAATAAGGAAATTCGTGAATTGAATCTCTTTTCCTGATTCTTTGTATTTTAATTTTTTTAAAAAACACATGGTACAAAGTTTTAATTGTTTTATATTTTCTTAATATTTGAAGTTTAAGGACATAGCCAAGATTCCCAAGCTATATTAAGACCAAGAAAAGCAATGTTAACAATACAGCTATAAAAAGTTTTGACTGAAAGAAGAAAAATTTTTGTAGATAAGATTTTTCTAACAAGCTAACTAAAAAAGAAAAAAAAGTTTCCAGAGTGGAGCCCTAACCCAAAGGCCAAAAAAACTTTTTACTTTCTAACAGATCAGTTCCTCAGATCTGAAAAATAAAAACAAACAAACAAAAAAGTTGGGTGTTGTAATGCTGTGAATCCAGTGAGAGGGAATGACAGGACTTCCAGGTCATATGAATGAGATGTTCCCTACAGGTGTGCTCTAAGGTTAATGACACTACTGTCTTTTCTTTTTCCCTTTTTTTGAGTTGGAGTCTCACTCCGTGGCCCAGACTGGAGTGCTGTGGCACACTCACAGCCACCCCAGCATCGACCTGCTGGGCTCCGGCAATCCTTCCAACTCAGCCTTCCAAGTAGCCGGAACTACAGGCATGTGCTACCATGCTCTGCTGATTTTTTATTTATTGTAGAGATGAAGTCTCACCAAGTTGACCGGGCTGGTCTCGAACCTGCGGGCTCAGGCAATTCAATCGCCTCGGCCTCCCAAAGCACTGGGATTACAGGCTGAGTCACCGAGCTCGGCCCGCTACTGTCTTATTTGGCCTGATAATATCTGTGGAGCCATGTGGAGACCTAGATCTTAACATATGAATCACATATGAACACACCGGGGCTCAGTCACAGCTGGCTGCCTGGGTTTGGTTGGATGGTTGTTAATGGAGTCTGGAGTTGAGGTAAGAAACTTCCAGAAAGTTGAAACTGAGCTCCTGAGCTTTTGGGTTAATTCTCCACAATCATTTACAGATTCTTGTAAATGCATTGTGCTAGGTCTTCAAGACACTGAGATGAGACAATACTCTGACCCTCCAATAACTCATAGCAAGACTGAGATATACAGCAATAATCTCATTGTGATGTGGTGAGTCTCTTTGCTGAAAAACCAACATGCATCCCATTTCCTCTACAATGGATGGATAGACCCCCAACCTGTTAAGACTTTAACCCTCTATGATCCCCCCAACTGGAGTCTCAACATCTTTCTCCATTAGGTGCGGCACAGTAAGCCATTCCCTGCCCCTAGAGTCTGCCCTACTCTTTCTCACCTTTCTGCTTGTGTTCAAGCTGCTCCTTTTTCCTGGGAGATCTTTGAGACTCCCCTTCCCCTTCCCACCTCTTCTGTTCATTTAAATCAGTCGACTTAGCTCCTTCTAGATCAGATCCGCGGGATAGATGAAGTCACTCCTGGTATTTATCAGGAGACTCGGGATCTAATCACTAACTTGCTGGTCACTACTTGCAAGCTGCCCCTCCCCTCTTTCCCCATCTCAAACCTTTACTTCTGCTCATGGGGCTTGGGGTGGTCAGACTTTACTGCACTGTTCATCTCAGTTCTCTGGTTTAACGACCAGGATTAGAATTAATCGTGCAAAGCAGGGCCAAGACTACCTTTCCCCCCCTCAAAGTGGACTAGCCTCGACCTTTCCTTTCATTGTCCTAAAGCTCAGCGCTCTTTCCCTTAATCCTCGCCTAAGGACCCATGCTGGGGCTGAGGAAAGGTGGGAGCGGCAGGACTTGGAAGAGCCAGTTGACCATCAGCCTGTCGCCTCCTGGTTCCAAACCTAGGGATTCCATAGGGTGGGGGACAAGTCCACAGGAGGGGCCGCCTCCAAAATAAAAATTGTAAAAAAACCCTTCTTGCCTTGGAAAGTGTGTGAGTGTGTGCGTGCGTGCGTGTGTGTGTGTGTGTGTGTGTGTTTTAAAAACAAAACCACGTTAAAGGGGCCGCCCCTCCCCCACAGGTCCGACCACCCGCCGGGAGTTTGCAAAGAAGAGGGGCAATTCTGAATGGGAGGGCGTCGCCAACGCCCTCGCTGCGTGCCACCTGACTCGGAAACGCTCGCCCAGACCCCGCGGGTCCCAAGCAGCCAGCTCCGGGCCCCGCGCGCAGAAGCTGCGGCGAAGGCGGAACCCCGGGGCCGCCAGAGTCCCGCAGAGCCAGCCGCGCCGCAGACTCCCAAGTCACCGCCTCTCCCAGCCCCGCGGCCTGGGCCGTCAATCAAGCCGGCCTGGCCCCGCCTTCGGGCTGCAGCGGGCGGCCAATCGGAGCCAAGCTCCGCAGCGATGAGCTCAGCCGGCTGGCTTCCCATTGGGCGGCTATATTAAGAAAGTGGCCGGACTCTTTAAATAGCGGGCGCTAGGGCCGCAGCCCTCATCTGCCACCGCAGTCCGGCTGTAGTTGCCCGCCCTCCTGTGCTCCCGGCGAGGCCTCGAGAGACCCGGGAGGGAGCTAGGCCGAGTCCACAGCCCGAGCTAGCGTGGCGCACAAAGCTGCAGACCCCGGGCCGGGGCGAGCAGAGGCGGCCGCCGCCCGGGAGCAGCGCGGCGAGACTCACGGCGCACCCTATGCCCCCGCTCCCCCACCGCCCCCGCCGCGGCAGCCGGAGCGCAGCGAGAGGACGCGCCACCGCAGGGCCCGGGTGCAGCTAGCGACCCTCGTGCCCAGCGCGCGGCCGGAGGTGAGCAGTGAGCGGCGAGCGGGACGGCAGCGAGGCGTTCGCGGGCCCCCTCCTGCTGCCCGGGCCCGGCCCGCTCATGGCGGCCATCCGCAAGAAGCTGGTGGTGGTGGGCGACGGCGCGTGTGGCAAGACGTGCCTGCTGATCGTGTTCAGTAAAGACGAGTTCCCCGAGGTGTACGTGCCCACCGTCTTCGAGAACTATGTGGCCGACATCGAGGTGGACGGCAAGCAGGTGGAGCTGGCGCTGTGGGATACGGCGGGCCAGGAGGACTACGACCGCCTGCGCCCGCTCTCCTACCCGGACACCGACGTCATCCTCATGTGCTTCTCGGTGGACAGCCCGGACTCGCTGGAGAACATCCCCGAGAAGTGGGTGCCGGAGGTGAAGCACTTCTGCCCCAACGTGCCCATCATCCTGGTGGCCAACAAGAAAGACCTGCGCAGCGACGAGCACGTCCGCACAGAGCTGGCCCGCATGAAGCAGGAACCCGTGCGCACGGATGACGGCCGCGCCATGGCCGTGCGCATCCAAGCCTACGACTACCTCGAGTGCTCGGCCAAGACCAAGGAGGGCGTGCGCGAGGTCTTCGAGACGGCCACGCGCGCCGCGCTGCAGAAGCGCTACGGCTCCCAGAACGGCTGCATCAACTGCTGCAAGGTGCTATGAGTGCCGCGCCAGCCCCTGTCGGCGCGGCTCCGGGTCCTGGACCCGTCCCCCACGAGCCCGGAGAAGGGAAGACCCGCGCCTCCCACGAACCCCACCTGGCATCTGTCTGCTGGCGGCTCTGGCTCAAGCGCCGGGAATCGGCGTGGGCACGGGGCGCCCCTTTCCAGTGTCTGTGTGTGTCCAGCTGTGTTGCACAGGCCTGGGCTCCCCGCTGAGTGCCAAGGGTCCCCTGAGCATGCTTTTCTGAAGAGCCGGGCCTCAGAGTGTGTGGCTGTGTGTCTGTTCGACTCCCCTCGCCCCGTTTTCACCTCACCCCCGCCTCTGGTCCCGGGGGGGGGGGGGGGGG